AAAAATACATACTGAAATAAAACTACTGATTGAAAACTTTATGACTGTGGTTGTACAATATATGACTCACTAATACACTGCAAACTCCCTTAGAGTGGGGCTTCCAGAGAGAGAGAGAGAGAGAGAGAGAGAGAGAGAGAGACAGAGAGAGAGAGAGAGAGAGAGACAGAGAGAGAGACAGAGAGAGAAAAGTTCTTGCCTCATTAATGAATTGTTTATTTTTTTCAGTATTTAATTGACAAATTATCCTTTCAAATAATTAATTGATGAGTTACATAATTGTCCATTTAGAATTGTTGAATGGACTGAGTCAAGTTTGGTGCACTTTATATATTTCAAAACATGTTTTTTTTTATTTTAATGATGCATATAAATAATTTAAATGTTAATTTAATGAAATATTTCTATTTTTTCATTACCTCACCCTTGTTTTGACAAAAACGGGACCTTGCTGGATAATATCATGGAGAAACTATTTGTTCACAGTACATGGCTCAGTGAGGATCTGTGTAAAGGAGGAGATACTCAGAAATCTGTCTGCAGATTGTTACAACCCAGACTAGAAGTGGTGGGCTGTAATAAGAAAGGAGACCAAACAGAGGAGTGGGGGTTCAACAACTGATTTATTTAACAAAAGTAAGGATTTACTAAAGCAAGTTAGTGAACAGAAAATGGCCAGTGAGGACTCTCCACCACACAGGAGAGACCCAGTGAAAGCAGAAAAACAGTAGGCTTTGTAGGCAGCACCACACCCTGAGCCCAGGTGCCTCCAAGGCTGCTTAACCAGCTGCCTACAACAGAAGAAAAAGACAATTAAACACAAATGAAAACCCAATGAGATGGTGGGGGCATCACAACACGTTCAGGACTACCCAAACACCAGTAATTCTTGACTGCACTGATCTGAGGTGTCAATGGCCATATTCCCCTCTCTTCCAGAGTCATATATTTTCCTCAAGTTCAACTGCACTCTGAAGAGGCTCATTTGGATTGTGCCACATAGGCCAGTGACCTTTGTCTCAGCACTGTATGCTGGAACTATCAGCGACCAACCTGGGAATCTGGTGTGTTGAAAATGCTACAACTAGAGATGGTCATCTTGGTAGACAGGGGTTTCTTCATTGATGACATTGTGCCCTGCAAAGTGTACAGGCCAGCTTTCCTTTCTGGCAAACCTCAAATGTCTGCATGTAAAGTTATAGAAACAGAAGCCATAACATCTCTGAGTGCATGTGGAGCGCTCCATTCATCTGGTCCAAGAACACAAGCATTTTGATTGTTATTCCCCTCCTTGCATTTGTAAACAATCAGCTATATGCTGTGGTTTTTCTCCTTACCAACTTTTAAAATAGCCCACTAGTGAAGGCCTGGGCAAAGAAGCCTGATGTCTGAGAACCTCAACATATGTACGGCAACCACACTGTATATTTACACACTTTCATAAAGAAACTGCATATCAAGCTTTCATTCAGATGACCTTCAACAGTGCTGCACCCTGCTGAGGGACATCCGAGTAAAACCTTGAGATGGCCATTTTCTGTTCACTAACTTGCTTTAGTAAATCCTTACTTTTGTTAAATAAATCAGTTGTTGAACCCCCACTCCTCTGTTTGGTCTCCTTTCTTATTACAGCCCACCACTTCTAGTCTGGGTTGTAACAATCTGCAGACAGATTTCTGAGTATCTCCTCCTTTACACAGATCCTCACTGAGCCATGTACTGTGAACAAATAGTTTCTCCATGATATTATCCAGCAAGGTCCCGTTTTTGTCAAAACAAGGGTGAGGTAATGAAAAAATAGAAATATTTCATTAAATTAACATTTAAATTATTTATATGCATCATTAAAATAAAAAAAAACATGTTTTGAAATATATAAAGTGCACCAAACTTGACTCAGTCCATTCAACAATTCTAAATGGACAATTATGTAACTCATCAATTAATTATTTGAAAGGATAATTTGTCAATTAAATACTGAAAAAAATAAACAATTCATTAATGAGGCAAGAACTTTTCTCTCTCTGTCTCTCTCTCTGTCTCTCTCTCTCTCTCTCTCTCTCTCTGTCTCTCTCTCTCTCTCTCTCTCTCTCTGGAAGCCCCACTCTAAGGGAGTTTGCAGTGTATTAGTGAGTCATATATTGTACAACCACAGTCATAAAGTTTTCAATCAGTAGTTTTATTTCAGTATGTATTTTTCCAGTATCACAAAAAATGTAATTTTATATGGTTAAAACCATCTAGCTTATGTGCACTTTTTAAAACACTGCCCAGCAAACATTCGGACGTTTAATGACAGTTGAACGGTCACAACTGTAAAATACCTGAAATTAAGAAAAATTAACATGACATCTACTGCATTTTCCTTGCCTGGCCTCGAACCCGGATCCTCCGGGGCGAGAGTCACCCGCTCTTCCAACTGAGCTATGCCAGCAACTACTTGACTAGTAGACTTTTTTATATAGATAGGTAGAGGGTAAAGTGCGGGGTACACTAACCAATCAGAGGACAGAGGAGATCTGCCACAGGCCACGCCTCCAGAGTGCCAAAACCCTTACAGCCGAGCGAGCAGGAGTCAGAAACCGAGCGCGCAGAGAGGCTGCCGAGCGCGCACAGAGGCTGCCGCGCGCGCACGTTTTCCTCTGCCGTGTGCTCGTTGACAACGCGCGCACGCAGGTTTGTCACTTGTGCACATCCTTGTGCGCTCACAGACACAGTTTGCTCCCTCTCAGTGCACAAATGACCTCTCGCCATGTATATTTCCGCTCGCGAGTCCCGTTCACACGCGCGCTGCCATGTATATTTTCGCTCGCGAGTCCCGTTCACACGCGCGCTGTGGACCCAATGCGCGTGCACGGGTTTTGACAGGGGTATGACGCGATAGAGAATAACCACCAAGGAAAACGTGTGTGTGTGTGTGTGTGTGTGTGTGTGTGTGTGTGTGTGTGTGTGTGTGTGTGTGTGTGTGTGTGTGTGTGTGTGTGTGTGTGTGTGTGTGTGTGAGCCATCAGCCCTCTCCCTACCATCAACACCGACGTCCTGACCGCCTCCGAGACGCTCTGCCGGAGCTCCGCGGCGGTCCCTGGCTTGTGCAGCCCCCTGGTGAACTTCCTCGGCTCGGGTGGAGCAGCAGCCATGGCTCAGCCCTCCTCTCCTCCGACACCCCTGGCTCCGAGAAGAGCAGAGGAGCTACTCCGATCTGGGGAGACTGTAAGCCCACACTAGCTTCATGCTGCCACGTTGAACTTTTATTGTGACCCGGTCATGATGGACGTCGCAGTCCCAGGAGCCAGAAGCACCAGCAATCAGACATAATAGTGTCGCTCCGGTCCTGTCCTCCTATCCCGTCCTCCCTCTGTCCCATCGGCCGAGGTCCCTCACCCAAAAAAAAAAAAAAAAAAAAAAAAACACAGACTGTGTGCTGAAATAGCTCGGCCTGATACTACCCCCTGTTGGAGGAGTGTTTTTACAACTGAAGCTCTCTGCTGGCGCGTGCTTCTTTCGACCACACAGTGGCGGTAAAACGTCACCAATGTTTACATCAATGTGGTGCCTTCTCTGTAATCAGTAAACAAGACATCTCTACATGTTTTGCATAAAATTAAACAAATATTCTTGAAATTTTGACGTTTTTCTGGACATTGGTTGTTCATATGCTCATACTTTAGTCCAGTTCTTGTGTTTTACAATTTTTTTAAGTTTTAACGTCTATTTTTATTTGATTTATGAAGGTCATCACAGGGACAGCTCATGTAAGATGTTTCGGAGATAAAGTCAGAGACTTGAGATGGTTTGAACATGTCCAGAGGAAAGACAATGATTACATAGGTAGAAGGATACTGCGGTGGGAGTTACCAGGCAGAAGGCTGAGAGGAGAACCCAAAAGAAGATTTATGAATGTGGTGAAAGAGGACATAAATTAGTTGGTGAAAGAATGTAGAAGATAGGACTAAGTGGAGACAGATGAGTAGCTGTATAGGGACTACTGAAAAAAAAAAAGGCTGAAGATGAATAATTAACAAAAATGTACATTTCATGGTCATTCTGGTGGAGATTCCATGCTCAATGTTGCCTGAAGGTTTATTGTGAAAAATAGAGTTAACTGTCTAAAAAACTTCCCTAAAGATTACCTGAAGACCACATTTTGAGTGACAGAGCAAAACTTTTTGCAGCCTTCCCTGAAGGTTACACTCTGAGTGACGAAGCTAATGTTGAGGGAACGTACCAAACGTTAGCAGCCATTAATAAAATGTTCCCTGAAATTTTGTTGAGCTGACCTTAAAGCAAATGTATTTCTCAGCGCATGGAGGAAAACTGTGGAAGATTTTGGACAAGGAGTTAAAAATAGGGGTTAAATCGGAAAAGGGTAGATTCAAATTACAATAGTTGGCACTGCAGAATTATCTCGCAGGAGACACGACAACCACACACTCACTGATGGTAAACAGTAGTTATGTCCGTCTTTACTTTGTTTTGAAAGAAGAAAAACTGACAATCCCCACAGCCAGCTGGATATGATATATGTTTCAGAATAACCTTCCTTCCTTAGACTTTTTGGGGATTTTTTTTCTCTGTGAAATTCTCTCAACGTTCTTACATACTGCACCTTTAAAAGACACTTAGTAAGCAGTATGTGTTTGAGATTTATTTGTGTTATTTGGTAAATTTAGTAAAATAAAAAGATTTAAACTTAGCTGATAGAAGAATGATCTTTAAAGAAAAAGAATGTAGGAGCGATGTAACACACAGTTACACGTTAAAAATCAGAATTACCACAAGAACCAATTTGGTGTGCCACTCCTAAATTTACACTGCCCCACTCCCGGTCCATACATTTTCTATAGGCGCCACTGCATAGTACGGTCTACAAGATTTTTGGACCATTTTTTCTTAACATTTTAAAACACTCCTCAAACATAGTAAACAACAAACTTGAGAATTCCGCGAAGACCCTGAACGCAGCACGGTGTTGTGTCTGCCGTCTGCGGCACCGCGGCGCTGCACCGCCCTTCCTGGCTGCGTGGGACCGTCCACAGCAACTTGATACCGGAGACTGGTGGTCCAGACAAGCCCGTAAACGAGGCGTTCCCAGCCGCCTCCAACAGACCGATTGATGATACCCGGCCAGCACCTCTGTTCCCCGTCTCTCAGCTAAAGCCGGGGGCACGATCTCCGTGCATCGCTCGCTAGCATAGCCCTCTCTAGACGGGGAGACTTAATTCTTCCTCCTGGTAACAGCGAGCTAGAGATGAGACAGGACGAGCAGAAGTAACTGGCTAGCTTTGTTGCTAGCGTCGCTCACCAACTCGAACCAGTCGGCTAAGCTCCTGTTTTCTAAATTCCAGTTCACGGGGCCGAAAAGGTGGACATTATCACTGGGAACCATAGATATTTAAATGTTTTGGCTCGGTTTGGGCTTTTAAGCGACATTTGCCTGCTTTTTCCCAAGTTTTATCCCGCCAGACAGTCGCCCGAGGCGGCTAGCATGCTAGCTGGCAGTAATGGAGGTTGTTTGGGGGAGAGTTCCAGATGGCAGGTCCGCCAGGCGAGGTAGCTGCTCGGCTTGTCTGTCCGCTCCAAGCCGGAGCTCGAAGCAGGAGTAACGGACTCCTGCTGTCTGTCATTATCGGTCATCTCCATCTCCATTCCATGTCTGCTGCTGCCGGAGCGGTTATTGAGCTGGTGTGAGGGGAACAGCAGAGGCTCAACAAAAATAAAGGACCAAAAGAAGTCAAAGGAAGAGTCGGAGAGAAGCCAAAAGTCATGGCTGTGAGCCAAACTCTAGCTAAGTTCTTGTTCTGCCTGACCATCCTCCTGACTGCAGTTGCTGGTGAGTGGATTTAGTGTTTGTCAGTGCTTGTATTTAGTCGTTTCTTCTGGTTGTTTTCCCACCTTGTTATGCGTCTGTTTCAAATCCCTTTGAATTATGCCGTGTACCAAAGCTTGGGAAAAGCCATCCGCCCAAACAGCAGCCCTCCAGCCCGTGCCCTGGGTGCTGGAGGCTTCTGGGCCCGAGGCCAGGCTTCTGAGACCTTGAGCCTGATAAGATTTCAGCAGAGCAGCTCAGGGATGGAGGAGCACTGGAATGTGTGGGAAGATGAGATTTAGGTGATCCCAGTGCAGGAGATGGCTGGTAGACTGGCCCTATCTCGTGTGTGTGTGTGTGTGTGTGTGTGTGTGTGTGTGTGTGTGTGTGTGTGTGTGTGTGTGTGTGTGTGTGTGTGTGTGCGTGCGTGTGCGTGTGCGTGCGCGCGCGCTATGAGATTTCCCCATCCACACAGTTGTTATCAGAAAATGACCCCTCTAAACCAGAATCGGTGCATTACAGTCTCTCTTCCATACAGACCTGCACTGCTGTGTTAAGGTTTGTGTGCAGGAGGGTAAACAAGTCCACTGTTTTTCATTCAGCCGTTAAGTCACACAAGCGTGGCAGTGCATGGCACAGCAGTGGGCTTCTGATTTTGCCCAAGGACACGTTAGTGTGGTTGGACTGAGATCTAGATGAACACTTTGACCACAGCTATCACAGAGGTTTTTAGTGTGGGGGTGTAGGAAGTGAATTTTAGATTAACACTTAATGTTTGACTCTTAAGACATAAATATGTCTAAATGATCATCACTTAGTGGTGTAGAGAGATTCTGAATTGGGTTTCTGTGGAAACATGATCAAAATCGGATATTAACAAGCTAACACAGGACAGTTACAGAGTAGTTTTGATGTTCCAAGGCAACAAAAAATAAACAATATCATAACAGTTCATTTAAATATATATGTATATAATAAATATGTATAATAAATTAATATATTACATAATAAATGGAAATATATATATTATGTATGTGCATATATATATATATAATATCTGTATGTACAGCCAATTTAAAGTCAGGCACATCCATAGCTAGCCTGATGCTGCTGCAAAATCTATTTTAAGTGTAAATTTGCATTTCTGAATAACATCTGCTTAATAAATACTCAAATTATTTTCAACAAAAATTTCTTTTTATATACTAGTTTTGAATATTTTATACATGGTTGGTTAATTGATTTGTTTGATTAACTTTATTTAGATGTCTGACTTTAACACAGCACAAAATTAAAGTAAAACTGATTCTACTTCAGAAATTTTGTGTATCAGCTGCTGTTATTAGTGACATTTTAGCATGAAAATAAAGTGGAAAGTGTCAATGTCGGCCATGAAAATTGGCCCAAAAATCCGCAGTACATTTTGGCTATCGGCCGACCGTGTCCTACATATCACATCGAATTGGCAATAGAAAAACCAATATCGATATATATATATATAAAATCTTGCAATTCATTTTAATTAACCACTTCTGTTCATTCCTGTTCTTGGTCTCCATCAAATTTATTTAGAAAAAATAAAAGACAAGTTGAGTTGACACCCTTGTCTGTTAGTGCAACCAACCGTACAGCAAACTTTTACCATTGTACTGTGAAATCAACTAAATAAAGCGCTTTGTTTTTACTAGCTTCACTAGAGTTTACATGTGCGTAAACAGTAGCTGTGTTTCCATTAGCAGAACTTCAGGGCAGTTCCTGGGAGGGGGAAATTGATTGGGAGATACAATGTCCCAGTCCTCTCAGTTGTTGTGCCTCCATTCAAATTCAGCCGTTTCAGCACTTTGCACAGATGTCAGCATGTTGCGACTGCTTTGGCAGTGAGCGATGTCACTGATCGTCTCCAAAAAATGTCCACAGTAACAGTAAAAGCATTTATTCTATCAAAGTACATCATAATTGTATCCATTCAGAGGACAAGAGCAGCTGTGTGATGTAAAATGTGGTGTTCAATGACCAAAAGTGCCGTTTTTTTACGGCGCTCTGTAAGACAACAAAGCCCTGGCTTCCGCTTCCGGTCGGTAACAAGATGGCGCCTGTGCTTGGCTTAGCCGTAGTCACCGGCCACTTTTTCAAACTTTTCTCCACTAACCTCCTCTTTTCCATCTTGCTCCTTTCTGCGATCCTCTTCAGTATGTCCCTGCTACCATCTCCTATGATCGCCAGACTCTTTTGTCCTTCCGTTCGTTCACGATCGCCCAAGATGCACCAAGGACATACTGCCCTGTTTGTTTATCTGAGTGGCACACTGGCCCAGAGCCAAACGACGATTCCAACCAGGGCGCCTCCAGCGATGTTTATCCGGTCCCGGGAAAACGTCGGAGGAAAAGAGGTAAACGAGCAGGAATCCAGGTGAGAGTAAGACTTCTCTTAAAGCGTGGTTTATCTAGTAAACATCGGCGTGATCTTCTAGCTTCTTGTCCTTTGTTTGACGACTTGAGCGCCACTTCCGCATTCCCGCCAGGCCGCGTTGCGGCGCGGTTTCTCCGTCCATGTTTTTTAAAGTCAGTTTATCCTCATTCCTCAGTGGTTTCTCCTCCTGTTCCGTCCATAAGTGGTTTTTATAAACACCGTGGATCTAACCCTGCTAATTTACGTCCACTATCTCCAGCTGTTTCTTTAGTTTCTGATTCCTCCACCTCACTCAGCATGGCTCTTTTAAATACCTGTTAACAATAAGTCCTTCCTGCTCAATGATTTACTTCTCTCTAAAAACCTGGATTTTCTGTTTCTGACTGAAGTTTGGCAGCAAACATCTGATTATTCTGGTCTGACTGAACTCTTCCCGAGTGGTTATTCTTTTCTTAGCCAGCCCCGGGGTTCTAGTCATGGTGGAGGCCTAGCTGTTGTTTTCAGAGACCATCTTCCATGTAGCTCTACAACCTCTGGTCACTTTGCTTCCTTTGAACTGCAGCTGATTAGTCGGGTGTAAGGACCCGTTCTACTGTGCTGTGGTTTATTGTCCACCTGGTCCTAACAGTTCTTTTCTTCAGGAGCTTAGTGACTTTCTATCCTCCACTGTGTAGCTGTCCAGATTGGTGATTGTTGGTGATTTTAACATCCACGTTGATGATCCCTCTGATCACTTTGCCATGAATTTCTCCAGCCTTATGGACTCCTTCAGCTTTACCCAGCATGATTCTGGCCCCACACACACCAGGGGGCACAATCTAGACCTTGTTTTTACCCTGAGTCTAAGGCCTAGTCCACACGTAGCCGGGGTTTTTTAAAAACAAATATCCGCCCCTCCAAAAACATGCATCCACACCACCGCGTTAAAAAAAAAACTGTCCACACGTACCCGGATAAATACGTTGTTAAGGACATGCCAGACCTGTAGGCGGCAGTACTTCCCCGTTCTTAACCTCGTCCTTCGTCTGTGGTCTTCCGCAAGGAGCAGTAATTCCGCTTGCAAAAACAAACAAGCAGAAAGCGCTTGGACAATTGATAAAGCGAGCGCAGCTCTGAGGGCATCCATGCTGTCGGCTAGTGTAAACACAGGTCGGTTTTTTTGTCGCGGAAAGTGACATTGCGGACCTTAAAACTCCGGTTTTGTCCGTCCACACGCAGACACCCAAAACGGAGAAAACGCAGATCTTCACTTTGGCCGTAGTTTTTAAAAAGATCCGTTTTCGTGTGAAAAAACTCAGTTTTTGTGTGGATGACAGGCCAAAACATAGAAAAATATCTACGTTTTGGCAGATCCCCGGCTACGTGTGGACAGGGCCTAAATGCTGACAGTGTTTGTCCTGAAGACGTTTACAGTTGTGGTCAGAAGTTTACATACACTTGTAAAAAATATAATATAATGGCTCTACTGAGTGTCCCGTTATTTCTAAAACTCTGATTTTTCTCTGATAGAGTGATTGGAACAGATACTTCTTTGTCACAAAAACATTCATGAAGTTTGGTTCTTTAATGTCTTTATTATGGGTTAACAGAGAAAAGTGATCACATTTGCTGGGTCACAAATATACATACAGCAGTGCTAATATTTGGTGACATGTCCCTTAGCCATTTTCACTTCAATTAGGCGCTTTTGGTAGCCATCCACAAGCTTCTGGTTGAGTCTTTGACCACTCATCTTGACAGAATTGGTGAAGTTCAGTTAAATTTGATGGCTTTCTGACATGGACTTGTTTCTTCAGCACTGTCCACATGTTTTCAATGGGGTTTAAGTCAGGACTTTGGGAAGGCCATTCTAAAACCCTTATTCTAGCCTGATTTAGCCATTCCTTTACCACTTTTGATGTGTGTTTGGGGTCATTGTCCTGTTGGAACACCCAACTGCGCCGAAGACCCAACCTTCGTACTGATGATTTGAGGTTGTGTTGAAGAATATGAAGGTAATCCTCCTTCTTCATTATCCCATTTACTCTCTGTAAAGCACCAGTTCCATTGGCAGCAAAACAGCCCCACAGCATAATATTCCCACCACCATGCTTGACTGTAGGCATGATGTTCTTGGGGTTAAAGGCCTCACCTTTTCTCCTCCAAACATATTGCTGGGCATTGTGGCCAAAAAGCTCGATTTTTGTTTCGTCTGACCACAGAACTTCCCTCCAGAAGGTCTTATCTTTGTCCATGTGATCAGCAGCAAACTTCAGTCGAGCCTTAAGGTGCCGCTTTTGGAGCAAGGGCTTCCTTCTTGCACGGCAGCCTCTCAGTCCATGGAGGTGCAAAACACGTTTGACTGTGGACAGTGACACTTGTGTTCCAGCAGCTTCTAATTCTTGGCAGATCTGCTTTTTGGTGATTCTTGGTTCACTCTTTACCCTCCTGACCAATTTTCTCTCAGCAGCAGGTGATAGCTTGCGTTTTCTTCCTGATCTTGGCAGTGATGAAACAGTGCCATGCACCTTATACTTACTAACAATTGTTTGCACTGTTGCTCTTGGGACCTGCAGCTGCTTTGAAATGGCCCCAAGTGACTTTCCTGACTTGTTCAAGTCAATAATTCGCTTTTT